CCGTACCACTTTTTTGGTTCTTGGACTACCTATTTAGGTAGTCCAAGAACCAAAAAGTGGTACGGTACCAAAAATTGAGCGTAGTGTAAACGGGGCTTGGCTAAATAGGTAGTCCAAGAACCAAAAAAGTGGTACGGGTACCAATTTTATCCGTGCCGTACCAAAAATTGAGCGTAGTGTAAACGGGGCTTTAAAATATTGTTTCATAGAATTTCTTCATGTTCCTAATTCTAGTAAACCTATATTTTTCTTAATATTGAGGTAGTATATGACTTATTAAGGTTGTATATACGACGCTGTTATTAACCAAAACTATATTTATAAAAAAATTGGCAGGAAATTTTAGGTCTTGGAAGCCTGCTGCCAGGAAGAAAAATATTTTATCAAGGCTTGTATTTACCTTAAATTCCCCCACCCCCTCCCCCCAGAAATTGTCATATCTGTCCCTCTGATAGTTTTTTTTGTTATTACTGCCACAATTTTTTGTCAGTGCAGCCTTACCGGATAATTAACCGCAATTTTCCTTTGAAAACAGGGCAGCTACATTAAGTCCCCCCCCCCCCATCTACCGACCCTCCTGTGACCCTTTAGAAATGTACCTCATTGTTATAATTTGAATGCCTGAGTCCTATCACAATCCAATTCTATCCAGTGGATAACGCTACCCGGTTTTTGCACAACCGACCCTGAGCCTAATTGCAATGACAAAACTGAATGGCCGAAAAATTGAAGGTAAAGCTTTTGTAAATCAGAACAAAATCTTTACCCGATTTACAGTTATTGATAAAAACATTATTTTATTTCTTTTGAATTTTATTTAATTATTTTAATGAAGAATAAAATAGATAAAATAAAACTATACATATAAAGATCTTTCAAACAAAAACTTATACACTATAAGTATTTCCAATATAGAAACAAGAATTTACATACACCAATCAACCCTAATTTACAATTTACAATTATTAATTTGCCTATTAATTTGATTCTCATCATTACTGTAATTACTAATTTACGATTATATATTAATTTACTGAAGCAGGATAATTGCTTATAAGCCTGGTTCACATATGCCTGTGTGGTATGTCGGCGGGCTATTGTCGTTAGAAGTTCAACCAAATAATTCACGAAAGAATGTATGCATCAACAGTTGTAAACAATGATAGCGCAGGCATACTGCAGGCATATGTGAGCTAGGCTTTAGGCGTCAGCCAATTACAGCGTCTCCTCATGCAAGTTCAACATTGTTCACACAAGCGATTACTGACCAAAATAATGAGGATTATTTCGTCTGAAATCTGTTTGAAATGCAATCTTTTCCTTGATAACGTCCATATTAGCCAAGGTGTTGTACTTCATCAGTTTATGAAGTCGGTCAAACTGTTTCTCCTCGTATTCGAAATTGAAGGATGAATAGGGCTTTTCAGGGTCATCAAAGATTGCAAAGTTTCCAAATTCTTTATCCTCTTCTGTCACGCGCGGTACCCCTGAAATACGAAATACATACACCATGTCACAGGCCTGCAAATAATTATTTTACTTGGAAGGACAAATGTTTGGCCAAGCCAAAAATTGGTCGGACATTTATCAATATTTCCCAGACAATGGACAAAGTAAAATTTTTCATATTTTGTTTTGAAAATTAGCACGATGTATTTTTTTGCCTGGTCATGTTAGTCCGCACTGCAATGCATCTAAAACTTAGCATATACCTACCAGTCCTCATGCATCAGTAAACTATGGTTCAGGTTACACATAACTTTAATTTCTACCATGTATACGATTAAGGTAATTTATAATTACATTTTACTGTTAATAATGTAGCAATAAATAGTGGAGAAGTGCTGTCTATATTGCTTTCTTGTTGATTTTAATAATAAAAAATGTGTTAAATAAACAATTTTTTTGAGATTGGGGATTGGATTAGCCTAAATCGCTCGGTCATATGTCCGGTCATAAAAAGCTTTGATCTGACAAAAGGTAGAATTTGACGGACAATGTATCCCCGAGCAAAGCGGAAAAGTCGAATACGAGCGCGAAAGCCTGCTGGGAATCGCTAATAAATGAATGAATTTATTAGCGATTCCCAGCAGCCTTTCGCGCTCATATTCGACTTTTCCACTTTGCTCGTGGACAACCTTAATTGAAATAGCTGTATATATAGGTCACTGAGTAATGCGTCTTACCTGGTGCACTGAAATCTCTGAATGTTTTGTTGGTAAGAGGAAAATGTAAAATGGTCGGGCATTCTGGATCTGACTGATCTTCAAATACATAACATTCTTCAATGTCTGGATTTTCCAAGACTGGGTTCCCGTCGATTTGTGGGAACGGGAGCCCGTGCTCCTTTGCCCAGCGTTCAGCTTTCAAAATGTTCTGGGTTAATATAAAGTAAAAGAATGAACTTTGAACTTTACCCCTCGGACTTGCAAAGACCAAGTGGAAAGCTGTGGTGGCGTGTATACATCAGCGAAGCTAATGCGCGCATGAGCAGATCATTAGGTAGCAACGATTTTGGCCAGTGCGCATGCTCAGACCTAATATTTGCACTAGGTATCTGCAGAAATTAATAAAATTGAGAAAATAATCATGTGAGTAATAAAATCAGTTGTTTGGTAACGCAAACTTACTTTGAAAGGCAATTCTGTATCGCCGCCATCTCTCTGACTGAAATCAAATGACAGAATCAGTTCAACTTTCCGTTCAGGACGTAACAGAGTAGGGAAAGGAGAATTGAAAGCGATACCGCTGTCCACCAAGCACATCGTCTTGTGATTGCCTGGGGCCTGGTCGAATTCAGAGTCTATAAAATGAGACAGAAATTTTCGTCAGCATTATTACCAGCAGAAAGACCAGTGTTACTACGAAGAAATCTAAAATATCTGTAGAAATTATTTCATAGAGATTTCAGATTTAATGAAATTCGGCAACTACCAAAAATACAACATGTAGCGCCAGGGATTACACCACAGGTTACCCCAATTACGGCGACTCCTTATTTACATAATGACAATTATGACATTAGCATTAATAACGCATTTTGATCCAGTCCTCGGCTTCGCCTCGGAATCAAATTGTGCGGACTTGAAATCTAGTCCAGTCCTTATAGTCGGAATTGAAATATTACATCCTGTTATTGTTGGTCAAGCACTCTCGCCTATATATGTAGAGTCAAACTGGAGAGTAGAGTCACACTCTTTTCGCATTAAGCTCCAAACAAAACAACAGAACATCAACTTTAAAATTCTATCAAAAGCATACCTTGTTCTCTCTTGAATTCCAGTCCTCGCAAAATGTTAAACACCTCAGCGGCCTTTCCTCGACGGGATAAAATGAGATTGAAAGGATTGAGTGCATCAGTTAGCCAAAATTCCCCTGTGAAAACAAAATATGGCCGGTCAAAATGGGCTGGGTATGTTCTGTAGGACTGGAACTTTAACAATGGGCTGCTTTTTACAGTTGTGTTACCAATTTGAGGAAAAATGTCAATCAGGTTGTAGCAGTTGAAAATATACATGTATCGACTGTCTGCCTTTTTCAGTGGACAGGATTGTCTCCGCATGCTTATTAACTGATATTTTGTGGCGTTTGTTATAGCCTATGTTACAGACCTAAATCGGTATTAGCAGGTGCAAAAGCGCCAAAAACAGGCTAGTCAGGTTTGTTTGCTAATCTAGCATAAACTAAAGTATTTTTAACATTTTAATTTTTTTTTATTTTTAACATTTTTTTAAACATTTTTTTCACAATTAAAATTCCTGAAACAGAATACATGGAATTATGCTTATACTTTGTAAAAATTCGTTAGTCTTGAAGTACTCTGTAAGGTAGTAGTGATTACCTGGGTTGAAATTAATTTCGGAAGAATAAAAATGAGAAGAATTTTTCGAAATCGGTCTAATTGCCTTTCCAAGTCAAAAATGATCAGATAAGGAAATTGGCACATCATTGCACCCCCCTGCCAATACTAGGAGGGTTACGCACCCCCTGTACCCTCTAGTATCCCTGCATTTCATACCGTTCACTTCATCTTCAGGTGATTCATCTTCCTCGTCCTCAGCATCACTATCATCATCTTCAGTCTTACATTGACCTGCTGCTTCAAGAGCGACTTTCTCTGTAATGCAAACAAAAATATCACTTATAAATAATAAGGTATTTGACTTCCTTTTAAAACACAACGAGAGCTGTTTATTATAAAAATTTGAATCATATATTGTATTCTCAAGATGTCTTTTCGGAATTTGTTTTTTACTTTATTTTTTTTAGAAAAGTACTTACCAAGCTCGTTTTGGACTTCATTTTCAGAGTGATCTTTCTTGGTAAACAACGTCTTTAAGATTATACCAAAGGCACTGCCCCATATTCCTAAATTGGAAAGTTACAATCAAGGGTGGAAAAAGTATCGGAACACAGAAATTTATTAGGATCTCCATTTTTTCAGTAATGATGCAATAATGTTAATGGCAATACATCACCTTGCAAATAGGATAGTGGAGATTCTTCAAATTTCTTCACCAAACTTCCTTTATAAAATTTCCCACCAAAATCATCGGTATTTCCAAACACACCATACTTAGCCATACCGTACTCAAATGGCGTGAACTCCACCCATTCTAAACAAAGTACAGAGTATTTGATATTAAAATGTACTGAGACCAATAAGGGATGGCCTCTTCTGGGCCATCAAGGAGAACAGTTTAGAATTGATATAGCTATCCGGTATAGATAAAATTAGTTTACGTTTCCTCATGTAGTAACACTGGTTCAGTAAGAGATGATCCTTACTGGACCTCTAGGGAGAACATTTTAGAACTAATAGAGCTGTCCAGTATAAATAAAGTTAGTTTAGTGTAAGTTTTCTCCTGTAGTAACACTAGGCCAATACTGGGATGGCCCTTACTCAACCTCTTGGGAGAACAGTTTGGGACAGATAGAGCTACCCAGTGTAAAAATAAAGTTAGTTTAGTTTGGGTCTCCTCCTGTAGTAATAATAGCCCAATACTAGGATGGTATTACTACTCAACCTCCAGGGGGAACAGTTTATAACTGATAGAGCTACCCAGTGTAAAAATAAAGTTAGTTTAGTTTGGGTCTCCTCCTGTAGTAATAATAGCCCAATACTAGGATGGTATTACTACTCAACCTCCAGGGAGAACAGTTTATAACTGATAGAGCTACCCAGTGTAAAAATAAAATTAGTTTGGATTTTCTCCTGTAGTAATACTAGCTCAATACTGGGATAGTCGTTAGTCATCCTCCAGGAAAGTTCACAAACTACTAGATTCAGTTTGACTTACCACTAAATTCGGCCGCTGGTAGGTCTAGACGTACTCGGATACCAGTTGTAATTGGAAGCGGCGTTTCACCAAACTTTACTTTATAATTCTGGTGGCTTAGTTTGGATTCTTGATTCTAGTGAGAAAAAACCCCATTATTTAGCATTATTGATAACGTTAACCGAGAAGTCTCAATGCATATGTGACGTACATTTCCGACATTGGCATATCAAGCAAACTGATATCTCAGAAACAAAGTGAGTAAAAAATAAGTCACCATATCATTCAAATGAAAAGTTCATAAGAATGAAATGAAAAAACGAATTGAGGTTAGCTGCACTTTGACCCATTTGTTAAAGTTCCATAGTTAATACTTACATCCATACATACATAATTATCATCACCATAACAACCACCACCATCATCATCACCATAACAAACACCACCATATTACCATCAGTGTTACCATCATCATGATATATTCATGATCATCACCACCATCATCACTACCACTATCATCATCACCATGACCATATTACCACCATCATCAGTATTACCATCATCATCAACATCATCATTACCACCATCAGTATTACCATCATTATCATCATCAACATCATCACCACCATCATCACTACCACTATCATCATCATCATCATCATCATCATCACCATCAGTTCCAATAGTTGATCTATACTACTGCAGTATCTTACAATAGTTAATACTTACATCCAGGAGGCAATCACCAATAAACAATCCAAATAAATCCACAAGTCGGACAATTTGACCTCTTCGTGATTTTTCTGTCATATGTGTCAGGAAGTGAGGACGAAAATGACTCAATATGCTTGTCCCAAATTTCTTTCTCAGCTCGTCTGCCATTTCTTGACATGTTATATTACCGGGCCAACCTCCGTGCTGATAGAGTGTCGATATGTACCTATGTAGAAGAAATGCAAATTATATCAGACTATGGGGATTTATCAGACATCCAGTCCGCGCAATTAGTTCTTTCAAAGGCGAAGCAAAAGACGCTGTATATGATTAGCAAAACAGCTAAACTTATATTTTACCCATTGAGTCACTCTCCCCATCGTCTGGCGTTAGACAGAGTAAAATAATAAAATAAGGGGCATCAGGAGGCTTTGCCACTTTAAGGGTTAACAGGGTGCATGGGAAGATAGTCTGATTAACCCATTGAGTAGCAGCACTCTCTCCTTGACGAGTAAAATCGTCTGGCGTCAGACAGAATAAAATAATAAAGTTATAATATCGGGCGCAATGCCACTTAAATGGTTAACAGGATGTATGGGCAGAAAGTCCAATTAATCGCAAAACTTCACTAAAACTTCACATACCATGAGGAGCCAGACAGTCCAGTTACATATGTAGAACAGTCAAGTATGCCGGATTCTTGAAGAGCACAGAATACCCCTGATAATCCGCACACAGCCCTATATCCACCACCTGATCCCATGATACCAATCACTGGTACCTTCATTTAGACAAAAAAGGATTAAAAACCAAACATCAATATCTTCGAGAGTCGGTACAAAACGAGAAATATTTATTGAGGAGGATATTTCCGTAACAAAGTTTGAGAAACCAATCATACCTCGTCAATGTTCTTCGGTGCATTTTTTTCACCCATAATCTTTGGCATGTGTTTGAAGATTTCGTCCTTTCTTTTCTGTAGAAATTCCTTCTTTTTATCACATAAGTCGTAGCTCAGTCTCAATTCCCTGGTGTCGCTAAAAATTATAGAAGTCTTTCTTAAGTTATGGAATTTTAAAGCTTGGTTACCTTCGTTCGATTCTATGAGTGATCTGAAGTTGTCGATTGGGTATTAATAAACGTTAGCCAAATTTTTGGTACCTTTGGTAGTTCTTGGACTACCTAAATAGGTAGTCCAAGAACTAAAAAAGTGGTACGGGTACCAATTTTATCCGTGCCGTACCAAAATTTGGGCGTAGTGTAAACGGGGCTTAAGTCTTTAAAATGAAGTGCATAAAGTACAGGTTTTTATTCAATAACCTGAAACTACGAGTTAGAACAAGGAGCATAAAATAATGCATATACAAGACTCCAACATTCCTTAGTTCCATCAGTTTAGTCATCTTTCATGCCAAGACATGCCAGACTAAAACATAGTAGCCTACTTGTCTGAAACCAAATAAGTATCACACCGTAATATTGGCGTATACTTCTTACGCCATTTAACGCACAAGCTCTATACCTGAATAATCATTTTTATACTTACTCATATTCGACCAACAACTTCAGCTCAAGCTTTGTTGTCTGTAAACGAAGCAAAGTATTATAAATAGCTATATATAATTGTAGCAGTGTATGTGGTGCCTTTGCCATATCAAATTCACTTTATACTGGATAGCTCTATCAGTTCTAAACATTTCTCCACATCGGTCCAGTAAGTGCCATCTCTTATAAGTCCAGTGTTACTATGGGAAAATTCAATCTTTCACCTCATGAAAATAGTTTTACTATTCGGCATAAACATCCATTTTTTCATTTTTTTGTATATCATTGTCCCATAAGAGAAATTCTCTTATACCTTGTTAAGCGTGAGTATTTTCGTGATCTCAGTGTCCAAATCAAGGTCATCCAACTCAATCTGCTGTGCACCAACATGTCATCTGAACCATAATCCGAATCTTTCATTGTCACTTCTGGTGAACAGAAATAGAACACATTGTCAAATACAATCCCACCCACGCGTGTATAGATTTTGAGTTGTTCCAAATACTCGTTGAAAGTATGGGGTAAAATTTCAAGTTTCCAAATGTAGCTTCCTCACAATAATGTGAATTATGACTTTTTCAAATTGCAAAACATATAAATATTCATTCAAAATCGGCTTCTTAAATCATGTTTCTTATTGACTAGTATTTATCATAGATCATCTGGTTGATTGCATTGTACTCATTATCTCATATACAGACAAACAGTCGACTGCCAGCAGGGCTTGAAATCTTCGGCACTAGCCAGTAGGTTGCTTATGTATGTTGAAATTTGCTGTGTTGGTGTAATGTACTCAGGTGAATAAGATGCTTGTGTGATGTTACTCTGAGTGTGTATCCACACCGGGCAGGCTTGAAAAATATGCCTGGCCACGGTGGGATTCGAACCTACGACCTTTGGAATACTAGCCCAATGCTCTGCCAACTGAGCTACGCGGTCAGGTCGGTTCGAGTATGCGATATTTCGGAACTGAGTCTAGTTCCTTCGATATCAGTGTAATCTAATAATCATGAAATTTGCTGTGTTGGTGTAATGTACTCAGGTGAATAAGATGCTTGTGTGATGTTACTCTGAGTGTGTATCCACACCGGGCAGGCTTGAAAAATATGCCTGGCCACGGTGGGATTCGAACCTACGACCTTTGGAATACCAGCCCAATGCTCTGCCAACTGAGCTACGCGGTCAGGTCGGTTCGAGGATGTGATATTTCGGAACCGAATCTAGTTCCTTCGATATCAATGTAATCTAATAATCATGATTTTTCTGTGTTGGTGTATTGTACTCAGGTGAATATGATGCTTGTGATGTTACTCTGAGTGCATATCCACACCGGGCAGGCTTGAAAAATATGCCTGGCCACGGTGGGAATCGAACCTACGACCTTTGGAATACTAGCCCAATGCTCTGCCAACTGAGCTATGCGGTCAGGTCGGTTCGAGTATGCGATATTTCGGAACTGAGTCTAGTTCCTTCGATATCAGTATAATCTAATAATCATGATACTTGCTGTGTTGGTGTAGTGTACTTGTAGAGTACGGTACCCCTGTGCATTGATGACCCCAACGCATGTTGGGGCATGTATAAAAGAGTGTTCCGCCATCTTGTATTTAGTTTTAGACAATATATTTTGTATCTTACACTGGGCTCGTTTATCTTCTGTTTCAGCACGTTACTACATGGTGGCAGCGGTGAAAAAATAGTAAAATGGCAGACGATACAACAGGGAATATGTCCCAAGTATCAAATATCCCGATTCCTGAGAAATTCGATGGGGGAAATGGCCCAAAACAAGGCGACTTGTGGCCGAAGTGGATACGCCGGTTTGAACGCTACAGAATTTCCTCGGGGCTTAATAATAAATCGGATGCTGAACAAGTATCTACATTACTGTATGCGATGGGTGAATGCGCTGATGATATCTTGAAAACGCTACAAATTGACGAGGACAAAGCTTCGTACGAAGAAGTCAAGTCAGCACTCGAGAATCACTTTTCTGACAGAAGAAACGTACTTGTTGAGCGTGCTCGCTTCAACCGAAGGGTTCAACGCACTGGGGAGCCAGTGGATACATTCATCCAGGATCTCTACAAAATTGCAGCAGATTGTGAGTATGGAACATTAAGAAACGAATTGATTAGAATTATTGTAGGGGTTGTAGACGATTCACTCTCAGACCGCCTCCAGTCTAAGCCAAAACTGGCGTTGCAAGAAGCAGTGCAGATTGCCCATCAAGCAGAGGAACGAAAACATAACAGAGATGTAGTGAGAGGGGATGCCACAAAGTCTAGTGATGTTTATTATGTCCGAAATGGGGCCCAAACCAAGGGGAGATATCACAAGCAAAATCCTCGTCCCCAGGAAACTAAGGGTCCCCATACACCACTTAAGAAATCAGGGGATAAATGTAATTGGTGTGGCCACGAGAAGCATGACCGTAAAGTTTGTCCAGCAAGGTCAGTTACCTGTAATAAATGTAAGAAAAAGGCCACTACCAAACAGTTTGTCAGAGCAAGCCAAGTTCTTCCAAGTCAGTTAACGAAGTTAAGAGCCTGGGGGAAGATCAGGTTCTGTTTCTCGGGGAGATCATTGTGTAAATGGTTGGCCCACTTTTTTTTCCCAATCTCGGATTTTGAAAAAATTTTCATTTTTTTTTTCAAACCTCGGAATTTTGAAAAAATTTTCATTTTTTTTTTCCAACCTCGGAATTTTGAAAAAATTTTCATTTTTTTTTCCAACCTCGGAATTTTGAAAAAATTTTCATTTTTTTTTCCAACCTCGCAATTTTGAAAAAAATTTCATTTTTTTTTTACCAATCTCGGAATTTTGAAAAAATATTCATTTTTTTTTCCAACCTCGGAGTTTTGAAAAATTTTCATTTTTTTTCCAACTTCGGAATTTTGAAAAAATTTTCATTTTTTTTTCCAACCTCGGAATTTTGAAAAAATTTTATTTTTTTTCCAACCTCGGAATTTTGAAAAAATTTCATTTTTTTTTTCCAACCTCAAAATTTTGAAAAAAATTTCATTTTTTTTCCAACCTCTCTCAATTTTGAAAAACGTTTCATTTTTTTTTCCAACTTCGCAATTTTGAAAAAATTTTCATTTTTTTTTTCAAACCTCGGAATTTTGAAAAAATTTTCATTTTTTTTTCCAACCTCGGAATTTTGAAATAATTTTTTATTCAAACCTCGAAATTTTGAAAAAAATTTCATTTTTTTTTCCAACCTCGAAATTTTGAAAAACATTTATTTTTTTTTCCAACCTCGCAATTTTGAAAAAAGTTACATTTTTTTTTCCAACCTCGAAATTTTGAAAAAAATTTCATTTTTTTTTTCAAACCTCGGAATTTTGAAAAAATTTTCATTTTTTTTTTCCAACCTCGGAATTTTGAAAAAAAATTCATTTTTTCTTCCAACCTCGGAATTTTGAAAAAATTTTCATTTTTTTTTCCAACCTCGGAAATTTGAAAAATTTTCATTTTTTTTTTCCAACCTCGGAATTTTGAAAAAATTTTCATTTTTTTTCCAACCTCGGAATTTTGAAACAAATTTTATTTCTTTTTCCAACCTCGGAATTTTGAAAAAATTTTCATTTTTTTTTCCAACCTCGGGATTTTGAAAAAAATTTCATTTTTTTTTCCAACCTCGGAATTTTGAAAGAAATTTCATTTTTTTTTTCAAACCTCGGAATTTTGAAAAATTTTCATTTTTTATTTTCCAAACTCGGAATTTTGAAAAAAATTTCATTTTTTTTTCCAACCTCGGAATTTTGAAAAAATTTTCATTTTTTTTTTCCAACGTCGGAATTTTGAAACAAATTTTATTTCTTTTTCCAACCACGTAATTTTGAAAAAATTTTCATTTTTTTTTTCCAACTCGGAATTTTGAAACAAATTTTATTTTTTTTCCAACCTCGGAATTTTGAAAAAATTTTCATTTTTTTTTTCAAACCTCGGAATTTTGAAAAAAATTTCATTTTTTT